GGGGATGGCGGGGTAGATGCCCCCCAGGCCATTCTCATCTACGGCGAAGTCCACATCCGAGTGGCCCCGCCACCGCCATGGGGTGGACTCCTCGTAGGCCACATCATGTAGCATGGCCCAGGCGGCCACGTACCGCTGCTTCAGGTCGTATTTGATGATGTTGCGCGTGAAGGCCCGGTTGTAGTAGAAGGAGCCGTTGTAGACAACGTGCCCTGTCCCGATCCAGCTGTACGGGAGCTTGTAGGAATTGCTCCAGCGCCCTGCAGGGCAGAGACACCTTGCTGGTAAGACCCTCCCTTTTACTTTGGGGTTGGTGGCCCCGCCGCAGCAGCCCCCAGCATCCTCTGCCCCCCATCCTTCCTACACTCCCTCCCAGCCACCAGCCGCAGCCCGGCGTGGTGACAAGCAAGTCCAGAGCCACCACGGGCAGCCCGACCTGCCCCGTGCTCTGAACCCCACACGCTGGGTACCGGTGCCCAAGAGGGGAGGGTCCCCAGGCAGAGATTCTCCCCATGAAGCAGCATCCCAGGGAACAGGGACACACTACTGGGACCAGCCGAGCGGCAGCTAGTGCAGCATCAAGGATGGCGCAAGCCCACCTTGCTTGAAGTTGTCGAGGTTCCTGAACTCCACCAGCGTGTTCCCATAGTAGTAGTTGGTGACGTAGATCCGCTCCTCCCGGGCCAGGGGGTCCTTCATCCAGGCCCCCTCGTTGCGCCCATAGGTGTTCTGGGTGGTGGGCCCCGAGATGGTGGACAGCGTGTCCTTGCAGCGCCCTGCATGGGCAGAGAGAGGCTCGCGAGGCCTGAGGCAGGGTGGCCATGCTCTCCCCGCTCCTGCCGGGGGTCTGCAGGCATCACCCCCCCTCCAGCTCCCTGCCCACCCAGCAGGTACCCCCGCTGCCTCGGCCTGGGCTCAGCCTCACAAGGCCCAGCAGCGCCAGCCGGATCCTGCAAAGAGCTCCCCATGGCCTCAGCCATGTCCCTGCCCTGACCGAGATCTGTCCTAGGTCCACGACAGCGCTCCTATGTCCATCCCCGGGGCGGCCTCCTCCTGCCCTGCCCAGCCCCTCAAACTGGAAGGGGACTACAGTAGGTTCCAGAGTTAACATGCAAATAAAATCTGGTAAAGCACTTGTCCAGCCATCATCTCCACGACACCTCCCACCCGTGACCAGATCAGCTGTGCTGTGCTTAGCAGGACACGCCATGGGCACGAGCCAACCCCCATGTGCATAGCTGGATCGGCGCAGGACCTGCAGGCACTCACCAATGATGTTCCTGATGTCCTCCTCCTCCAGGGCCTGCTTCGGTGTGGCGGGGATGGTGGTGTGGCGGGGATGGTGGGGCGGACCGGCGTCGCAGGGGTGCTCGCCTGTCCCCAAGCTCCTGGGCTGCTCTCCAGGGCAGGGCTCGTCCCCACATCACTTGAGGTACCGGCAGTGGTGGCCACCGCAGGGCTGG